CAAAGTATAATCCTTTCTCAAAGAAAGCCCAGAACATGACTTCATGGTAGCTGTGAACTAAACCACTCTTTCTCTTTTCCAGTTTCTAACAGAACTCAGTGCTTTGGACAGCCTTTATCGAAACCCTTCACCTTCAATTTAAAGGAAGTTGCATATTCCTGGTGTAGTCAATGAATACAACACACCCAAAATTCCAGGAAAAACGGCTTTAAGTTTTGAATTCCTAGGTTGCCAGTAGTTGATTGAATTATGGGATTCAGTGACTGAATGACTCATTCCACAAACATCAATTAAGCACTTACAGAATGTTGGGTACTGTGCTAGGTGTATGGTATACAAAGATGAGTAGTGAAAAGGGTCTCTGTCTTTAAGGGGCGTAGGAAGATGATTTATTCTTTCATTCAGTAAACACTTATGACTCTGCCCTCATGTGTCCGACAATGTACAAAGGGCTGGGAATACAGCAATGATCAAAATAAAATCTCTATCAACAAAGAACTCCATTTCGAAGAGAACTAAGAGTAAACAGTTATAAAATCTACAGTGATGAGCAATTTAATAGATTGGGGTCAGCAACATTTCTGTGTAAAAGATCAGATATTTTGCAACTGTTTTAGCTTTGGCAGGCCACACAGGGTCTCTGTTGCATGTTCTTCTTTGGGAAAAAAAAAATCCTTTAAATATGTAAACCATGCTTAGCTACTTGACTGAATTTGGTCCATAGGCTATAGCTTGCGGACCACTAAATTGATGAATATGGAGGATTCTCTGGGAGTCACTGTCTGGGAGGAGGGAAGGAGGCTTGGAAAGCTCTTGGGTTGGGGATGGGGGGCTGTGCGGGAATGAGGAAGAGAGGGAGAAAGCTGGCATTCAGGAGAGAGGGAACACCATTACCACGGCTCTCAGGGAGCTCTTCCATATGTACAATCGTGTTATTCTTAAACATCCCAATTCTCATTCCCCTTCAAAACTCCACTTGTGCCAATGAACATCTCTACAAGGAGGTCCCAGCCTCCCGGCAAAGTGCTAATTACATTGCCTGAGTACCTCCCTCCAGAGCCGTTCCGTGCCTAATGGGGCCCTGGTTCTCCGTGATGTGCTCCTCGGTGCTTTTTATACTCTAGCACACTTTGGAACAATTCGGTGTTGCGTATTCCTCCAAATTTGTGCGGCTTCAGTGTAGCCAGTCTCTAAAGGATGCATGTAACTGACTCCTGGAAGGGGACAGGGCCTGCATTTTCTGCACTTCTCAGTTGTTTGCATGGAGATAATTATTTTCCCTTTCCTGGTTCAGAGCCACTAAATAAATAGGTAAGCCAACAAACAAGCCACCAAACACATAAATAAATATGACTTTTGTTCCCCCTTTTAAAGGAAACAGTCTTATCCACATTCATGGCCCTAGCTGTGGACCGGTTCCTTGAGCAAATGTATGTGAGCAGACTTAGAGATTTGAGAGGCTGAGCCTGGGAAGGCTCATGTTCCTAGTTCACCTTCAGTGAGAGCAGCAACCATGCCCGGCCACACAGGCGTCCATCTGTCCTCTACTTAAAACAGTCCCAAGAGACCTACTTCATAAGCCTCTTCCAGAAGCATCCTCAAGTATAAGCCATGTGACACTGTATTTTAAATATATGTGTCCCTCAGTAGACTGTCTGCTATGCAGGGCTGTGGAGCTCAGCACACAGCAGGAGGACCGGAGGCATGGGAAGATGGATGGCATGAACGGGAGGACCTGGCAGAGGTTTCCTACAAAATGACGGGTATGAGTCTCAGTATATACCCTCCCTTGGGCCTTCTGAAAGAACTTCAAGAAAGTGTTCAAAATGAATCTTTCCAACCTCCCCTCAATAAGAAAACTTATTTCTTTTGTCTAGCCTCACTATTGGAACTTCATCCATCCCCATGATTCTTCTCAAATATTATCTTCTGCCTGGTTAATGTATTTGTTTCTTTTCATAAATACCCTACTTTAGAGAGGACAGGAATCTAACCAGTTAGACACAATTAGCAGGCAAAGGGTCTTCCTTATTAAGAACGGTTCATTTTCCCTTCTTGAAAAAAATGGAGATATTTGAATCCCTGAATATACTCATTTATCACCGACCCCCAACAAGGCGTCCAGGAGTGCTCCATGTAGGACATGAATAATTAAAAAAAAAATGCGGTTGCAGACTGTGTCGTACATCCACGCAGCTTTATAAAACAAAGCAAATGATTACCATCAATTACAATAACCTCACTAGACAAGACTGCAATTAATCTACAGCTCTTGAGATAACGACTGTTGCACTGTGCCAAGGAAAATGCCTGGCATTAATTGACTTATCACGATCAGCGATGATAGATGGGACAGATGGCGATGTGATTATTCATTGTCAACAAAATAAACACATGCTCTGTTGCTGGAAGTGTCTACTTAGGTGCTCTCAGAGGATAGCCAAAAACAGAGACCAAAGGTGGCTTTGAGGAGAACACAAAATAAACATAAGACACCAACCTACAGGATGGGCTATATGTACTCTAACTGGGGCTAACACTAAGTGGAATCTGGTTGGGGGACATTTTCTAGCAGGAAATCATGGATTGCATGGGATTTCAGGACTAGAAGGTGCATTCCTTGCTCATGAGGATATGAGGTGAGTCATTCTTATGAAGTCCTCAAATTCCATTCCATGCTTAATAATTCCAGTGATGGGAATTCACTATTTTCAGAGGCAAACTCATTCCAGCAATGGATAGCTCTCACTGTTAGAACGTATTATTTATTTTGCTGAACTCCATCTGTCTAGGACTTCCATCCATGGACCCTAGGTCTTTTCCCTCATGCCACAGAGAAGGTGCCAAACTTTTCTTGGTCACTAAACTCTTAAATATCTCAAAGGCTAATACTTAGCCATGTGATATTATTTGGGTGCTTCTAGCATTTTGATTTCTTGCACCTAAACCCACACCAGTTCAGAATCCACTCCATACTGAGACCACTCATACCGAGGGGCTCGGAAAGAAATATGACATAGCTGATGTCGTCTGCCCACGACAAAGTGTGAGAGTTCTTGTGCTGAGGCCAAGGCTCTGGCTTGCCTTCTTGGCAAGCTATTCCCCAGATCCCATCCATCTAGACAGCACCCAGCTTTGCCATTTGCAATGACACCTGGGTGCCCTTTTTAATTCTTGTGCAATATGGTTTGGTTGATTAAGTTCTCATTGTTTAGAAAACTGGGATAATTCCAGCAGAGCTAGGGCTAGAAGTGGCCCAGTGGTCACTCACCAAAATTTCTACAAGTGTGCATAGCTGGACTCTACTCCCTGAGGCCCTGATTCAATTGCTTTAGGATTCAAATGTAAATATTTTGACAATGGTCTCCAGTTAATTCTCACTTGCAACTCTCTTTAGAGGCTCTATTCATTGAGAGCACTTAATAATGTGCTAGTGGAGTGAGTGTTTCACAAACCTAGTCAACAGACTCTCCTGGGGGCTTTAAAAATGCAGATTCCTTGGAGTGCCTGATACCTGCAGTCTGGGTATGTCTAGGAAAATTAATACTTTGAGAGATCAACTTGTTATATGTTTCCCTTAAGGATTTTGGAGAGATTCGTTTACTCTAAAATTGTAGTTCCTATACAAATTACAATGCACCCTTTATCACACATTGAAGAAAAGGCAATTCTAAGGAATTCTACAAAGTAAAGATTTTAGCCAAGTAACCATCCACATTTTTTTTCACTCATTCATTGAATAAATTCATTAATAAATTAATTTTTAGTTGGAGGCAACATTATGATAAGGAGAAGAATGTAACAGTTCAGTGAGGGAGAAAAGCAAAGAAATGAGCAAGTAAGCCAACAAATAAAATAGTTACAAATATTGAAATAATATGTATATATAATAATATGTGTAATATGTATAATAATAATATGTATATATAATAATATGTATAATATGTATAATAATACATATTGAAATAATATGTATTTATAAAGGAAGTGTTTATCTAATTTAGAATAGTCCCTAATTCAGACTGGTAGTCCCCGGTCACTCTCAATTCGTAGACTTTTGCCTTTTTTCATCTTCCCTGCTCTATACTCTGGCCCAGAAACTGCAACTCTAGGGAGTTTTTCCATTAGGGTCCCTATACTCGCCTACGAGCATAGTACGAGTTATTAACAACAATGCCAGGTTTAAACACGATGTTGATTGAAAATAAAATTAAAACGACCAAGTCAATCGTGAGATACATACTTCTGTAATTTCATAGCTTTCTCGACATCAGTTACCGAGGACTTTTAAAGAGAAACGCAGTTACTGGCTATTTAGCATATAAGCACCCTGGACTCCTGGTTGATAACCACTGTAAAGTGTAAGAGGACAAATTAACTAGACCGTGCTTGTCAAGGGTCAGAACCCGGATGATATCTGTTTAAACCATAGCTCTCATCCTATAATTGAAGCCATTTTGGCTCACTGCTATGGTCTGAATCCTATCTGGGTTGATGGTGGCACACAGTGATACTCACCATTAATGGTGACATACAGTGACATTTCCAATCTGTAGAAAGTCAGGCAGACCATTTAGTTGCCTGACATTTGTTTCACAGTAAGTTATAGTTTTGTGCAAATAAGACCCATTCTGCCAGAAGGAAGAATTATGGAGCCTATACCCTCCTATGAGAGGCTGATGGTCCAGGTAGGTCTAAGTGAAGGTTTGGGGTTAAAATAATGCTCCAGAGACCACTGTAGGGTGTGAGTCATGAGATCTGCGCCAATGTGTCAGAAGGAAATACCCAGTTCCATTGTGGTCTTCCCTAGAAAAAACTGGAAGCACGTTTATAGACTTCCAGCCAACTTGCAGAAAGACAGATGGAGAAAGGAGGCACTGACCTTCTCATTTCACAGATTTAAAAGAAAGCTTTCCATCTGTTATCCCACCTTGGGTATAAATAAGCACCAAGCCTTATTAATTGGCACTCAGCTTTAGGACTTCAACAGCCCCACATACCTCCCCAGAGAAGGCTTGTCCGTTGAGGAGGTGCTCCGACCCTTGGCTATCCTCACTCCCGAAGTGTAGTCGGATCTCCTCCAGCCGGTGGCTGTATGTCATGGGTCCTCCTGATATGTTAACCAAGTGCTCCTTGTCCAGGCGCAGGGACACATGTCTTCCAGTGTTGTACATGGTCCCACTGACCTGCAACACAATGCACAATAAGTCAAGCAAGGTTCTCTTTCTGTGTCTCACCAAACCCAGCATGGTGCTTAGACAAATGCCTTTTGCCTCCTCTCGATGGGCAACCATTAGGCTAAGTCTCTATATGAAATGGGGAGTAGCAGTACCTGGAGGGCATTCCTGCCCTACCTGGCTTATGTGGTACTTTCCGCGAGGCACTAACCATATTTACGATCACATGATCATGTAGAAATTTGAGGTAGGGATTCAAAGGAGACCTCAGCAATTGTGATTAATATTTTGAACATTGCACCTTAGAAAAAGTCACTTGTTCCTCCTAACAACAGGTGTTGGCAAGGATGTAGAGAAAGAAGAACACTTGTGCACTGTCAGTGGGAAGGCAAACTGGGCCAGCCTTTCTGAAAAAACAGTATGGAGTTTCCTCAAAGAGTTTAAAAAAGAATTACCCTTTGATCCAGCAATCACACTACTGGATATTTACCCAAAGAATACAAAAACACTGATGCAAAGGCACACAGGCAACCTTTGTTCTTTTTTTTTTTTTTTAAGATTTTATTTATTTATTTGACAGACAGAGATCACAAGTAGGCTGAGAGGCAGGCAGAGAGAGAGAGGAGGAAGCAGGCTCCCCAATGAGCAGAGAGCCCGATGCAGGACCCGATCCCAGGACTCTGAGATCATGACCTGAGCCAAAGGCAGCAGCTTAACCCACTGAGCCACTCAGGCGCCCCCGCAACCTTTGTTCTTAGCAGCAATATTTACAAGAGCCAAAGTTGGGAAGCAGCCCGAGTATCCATTAATAGCATTGATAGATAAATGGATAAAGAAGACACACACACACACACACACACACACACACACACACAGAGGGGGGGGGTGGTGGACTATTACTCAGCCATAAAAAAGAATGGAATTTTGCCATTTGCAGCAACGTGGATGGAGCTACAGAGTATCAGGCTAAGCAAAACAAGTCAGTCAGAGAAAGATAAATATGATTTCCTTTATATGTGGAATTTAAGAAATAAAACAAATGAGCAAAGGAAGAAAAAAAAAGAGAGAGAGACAAATCACGAGACAGAATCTTAACTCTAGAGAGCAAACTGATGGTCACCGGAGGGGGGGGCCAGGTGGGGGGATGGGTGAAATAGGTGATGGGGATTAAGGAGTATGCTTGTCACCATGAGCAACAGGTGATGTATGGGATGGTTGAATCACTCTATTGCACACATGAAACGAATGCTACCCTGTATGTTAACTATCCTGGAATTAAAATAAAAACTTAAAAAAACAACTTGCCCCTCTAACCTTAAGTACTTGGAATGTATAGAGTCACTGTAAAAGTTAAAATCTCAGGGGTGAGAAATTGGAGAAAGCAATAGATGCCACAAAGGCCAAATGAGAAACAAGGAAGCCAAAATGGGTGAATAGGAGCGAGCTGTCGTGGGAGACTGAAGGCTTTGGTCCGAATTCTCAAGTGTGCAGTCCTGTGTGCCTTTGTTAGGTCCCTCTCTTGCCCCTGCCACCAGATGCTGTGCAGAATGTGAGCTCTGGGGGGCGCCTGGGTGGCTCAGTGGGTTAAAGCCTCTGCCTTCAGCTCAGGTCATGATCCCAAGGTCCTGGGATCGAGCCCCGAATCGGGCTCTCTGCTCAACAGGGAGCCTGCCCCCGCCTTCCCCCGCTGCCTGCCTCTCTGCCTACTTGTGATCTCTGTCTATCAAATAAATAAATACAATCTTAAAAAAAAAAAAAAAAGAATCTGAGCTCTGACCCCCTTCTCAGAGCTCAGGGATTCAGTGCTGTGCTAAAGAGATAGATCCAAGTTTCCCATTTCCCTTCCTCACTCCTGATTCCATCTTGCTTCAGCCTCTCAACTGCTGACTTTACTGCTTGATGCTCCCTTTCCTTCTCTCCTCTTTGAACTTGATGTTCAGCTTTATTTTCTTGGCTTAGGACCTCTCAACCCTTGATCCTAGAACCCCGATTCCTACCCTTAACTCTACTGCCTTCGTCTCCTGGGTTGACTTAGCTCTTGGGGCAGAACGGAAGATTAAAGGAGACACTGAATGGGTCTGAATGGGTCTGGATTCTCAGAGGCTGAGATACTTGGATTTTCTTCCTGCTTACTCTCTTTTGGGCCCAGCCTTCTGCTTTCGGGATTCCTTAATGGCTTTGTGTAATGTCTGATACCTTCCTTCGTCATGTTTTTATATATTTTCTCGCTAGCGCTATCCTTATCTGCCCCTCCACTTTTCTGACACTAGTTTTGTGAATAATCAAATAGGTCCATAGATGTCTCACTGTGGCAGAGACAGTAATACCCACTAAATACTCCATTGACTCATGATTCTGCCATTTTGCTGTAAGGTGGAGCCCATGTGACTGGTGTTGGCCATGAGATGGGAGAGGACACGACGGGTATCACTTACAGGGTGAAACAGTGGAAAACTTATGCACAAATCTCCAGTCTCTCTCTCCCCGGCTGCCTCAATTCCTGGGGCCATGTGGAAATATGTAAATGTTCTGTAGCTACAAGATGGAGCTCACGTCAGCCTGGGTGCTTGGCAGATTAAAGGGCAGATTGCAAACATGGCCAGAATTCTTCCCCTCCCTGTAACTGCATTCTTTACAACAGGATTCTGTAGCTGCTTCCATCAAGATAGGGGTCTGCTTCCCTCCCTCCTGACTCTGGGCTGGCCTTTTCACTTGCTTTGGCCAATACGGAACATGACATCTGTGCTTTCTCCTTCTGGGAAACTTGAGACCACGTCAACAAGGGCTAGCCTGCTGGGGGATGATACAACACTGAAGAGAGTCATCCAAGGAGAAGTCATCACAGACTGACCACCCCATGGCTGGCCTGCCAGCTGACTGGCCCTGCTGAGGTCAGCTTAGCCTGGCCTGGACCAGAAGAACTGCCCACAGACCCACAGACTTGGAAGCTAAATAATTGGGGTTTTAAGTCCCTAAGTTTTGGAGGTAGTTTGTAATAGAGCAAAAGCTAACATATACACTAGGTGAATAATATTCCCCCTCCTGAATCTGGAACTAGCAACAGAAACTCTGTTGAGGGCCTGGCACTGTTGAGTACCTGAACTGGAAAGTCACATGGAGTCCAGAGACTCAGCCTGCTGGGTAGCTGGAAGTCAGACCAGAGAGAAGCAGATGTGCCAGCAGTGACAGAGGAAACCATGCACTGGCAGAGAGAGAACAGCTACTTGACGTTCAGAAATCCTTCACATCTCCTTCATGAGGTCTGAACTGCATTTTCTCATATGCTTTACATCTTACCAATAAATTAATTTTTTTTCTCAAGCTATCTATTCTTTGCAAGCAGATAATCCCAAAGTGTGCACACCACCAGTCTCAAATAAATGCATAGTCAGTATGAGATCATGAGGGCTTGTCTTTTCTTCATATCCCAACACATGAGTTTCTTGGCAGTAAAATGGTTAGAGATAGGTTTGTGTTTGACATTGCATTTATTGTTAAGTAAAATTTACTTTTTCTAATTATTAAGATAATATACAGGTATTATATATGGTTAGAAAGATATAGAGAGGCTCAAGGAGATAAAAATCAGCCACAATTCCACAATAACCCAAAGATCATCACTAATATTTTGATATATATAGTCTTACAACTATAAATACTATAACATATATGTATGACTATCTATACCCATATTTTAACAAGGTCACTTTATATATGTGTCTGTATAATCAGATGAGTGATTTTTCACATACATGTATATATATGAGTTTGCGTATATAAATATAGACTTTTATTTATAATATTTTATGTGTAATATTAATATAATAATGGTATTATGTAGTATATATTTATTATAGATTAATGTGTAAATCATTAATTGAGACAAGAATCCATCAGAATCCTAGAGGAGAACATAGGCAGTAACCTCTTCGACATCAGCCACAGCAACTTCTTTCAAGACATCTCTCCAAAGGCAAAGGAAACAAAAGCGAAAACGAACTGTGGGGACTTCATCAACATCAAAAGCTTCTGCACAGCAAAGGAAACAGTAAACAAAACAAAAAGGCAACCCAAGGAATAGGGAAAGATAATCTCCAAACTGTGGAAAGAGCCAAGATGCCCTTCAACAGATGAATGGATAAAGAAAATATGGTCCATATATACAATGGAATATTACGCCTCCATCAGTAAGAATGAATACCCAACTTTTGTATCAACATGGACAGGACTGGAGGAGATAATGCTGAGTGAAATAAGTCAAGCAGAGAGAGTCAATTATCACATGGTTTCACTTACTTGTGGAGCATAAGGATTAGTATGGAGGACATTAGGAGAAGGAAAGGAAAAGTGAAATGAGGGAAATTAGAGGGTGAGATGAACCATGAGAGACTGTGGACTCTGAGAAACAACCTGAGGGTTTTGGAGGGGAAGGAGGCAGGGGGATGAGTGAGCCTGGTGGTGTGTGTTAAGGAGGGCACACTAGGTGTGGTGCAATGAATCTCGGAACACTGAAAAAATAATATATAATTTTTAAAAATCATTAATTGTATTTATATTAATATATAAATAACATACCATGACAAAGTATTAGATGTATGCAATATTATTTAATATATAATAAATAATACATATTATATATTAACTATTTTATATACACAAATTCTATATATATTATGTACACAAATACAATATGCTTATTTAACTATATATATCAATATCACATATATTATATAAATATATATATATATATATAATTTTCACAAACATGAATATTTCCAGGTCATTAAACTGCTCTTCTGTAATTATACTTTGAAATGGTTGCATAATACTCCACTGCAAAAATACAGAACTTATGGTTGACTCTTTACATCCCCTTCACTTTTTCACTATTGCAAAAATGTACTGCAATGAGCATCCTATGGATAAATTAGTCTTATTGATCCAGGGATATTTCAGTTGGCAAGTTCTGCATCAAGTGGTGAGCACATGACTATCTACGGCCACAGCCA